AAATTGAATGAGAAATCACAAAGTCTATGCTATTCCGGCGACAGACTTGAACAAAGTGAACGAGTGTTCGGCGTAACAGGAAACTTGTAGCCTCGTTTCTGCAAGCGTGGCGTTACAGAGTCGCATTGCCAATATCGAATATTCAGAGAATAAATTGCGCTAATCTGTTAGTTAACAGATACCAAGAATGTTAAGTGTGGAGCAAACTATGTTAGTCGGCCGGTCACTCCCCCAACAGTGTTATAAAATGTCAATGACGTGGCTTAGACCGTCAAAACGTATCCAATTCTCGTAAAGCATTTGACCGGTCTAGACGTAAATTATCGTAGCAGCCGGTTTAACTACAGTATTTCTTGAAATATATATTCACAGATTTTTTTTATTAATAAGTAACAAAGAACGAAATGTGGCGCTTATTAGGAGCTGTTCTCGCATGCAGTTTTATTGCAATTGTTGCTGGTGCCGAGCAAGATGTGTTGGAACTTGGTGATGACAATTTCGCATCCACTTTGAAGCAGCATGAGACCACATTGGTTATGTTTTACGCACCCTGGTAAGTTTGGGCGGTGGGTGTGGCAGCGTTTACAATTGCAATTTGCAACGTCAATTCTTAATATAAAGTGAATTGTGTGGCTATGATTAATCGAATTAAAGTACACGTCAGCGGCTACCGTGTAAAAGACAGGTCACATACATATAGCCAGGGATTGACAAGTCAGCGTCGGCCATTTTAGCTTGTAGACATATGTGCATACATACATACACGTAAGCGCGAATAGAAGTGCTTTATGCATGTGTGTGCGTGTATGCGGGCTGATAAAGTAAGCTGTAAACTTGTCTAAGCTAATGCACGAACAAATAAATAGCTTTCTATGCATGTGTATGTGTTTTTGTTTGTGTAGACAAAGAATAAATTAAGTTGCGCAGCTTGAATCGCCGGCCGGTTCGCTGTGCTTGATTTTAAACGCCACATCTTGAACAAAACTAACTTATCAGCTCCAGCATACGCACAGAACAAGCTATTTAATTGAGTCTTGCTTGTATGATAAGAGCTCGCACATGAACTACGTTCAGATAAGTTCTGAAATGAATTTTTTATTATACCCTGTTAATAATGGGCTTCATTGGGTATACACTGTTAAATACTTAGTATGTATTAACTCATCAATGACAATCCTATTTCTTCAAGCAATGGAATTCAGAAAAGATGGATAGTTGCTAATGTTTCTCACAACTAATTGTTTTTATTGATAAGTATATGCCAAAGACAGTCTGATAAATATATAATAAATGGGTTTGCTAGTGTAGTTCAATTTCGGTACACAGAAGATAACATCTCCTATTTCCTTTTGCTCCACATGTTTTTTGATAACTCGAAGCTACGATGTTTTCTGAATAAGTGACGTGTCTTTAATAACATTTTCTTCTTATTTTAGGTGCGGCCACTGCAAGCGCTTGAAGCCCGAGTATGCTAAAGCAGCTGAGATTATTAAAGATGACGATCCACCAATCAAATTGGCCAAGGTAATCCTAATGCATACCAAAAGCAATCAATATCCATTTCAACTTTATTTTCTTTGTTAATATCAAAGGTTGACTGCACAGAAGCCGGCAAGGAGACGTGCAGCAAGTACTCAGTGAGTGGCTATCCAACGCTGAAGATCTTCCGCCAGGACGAGGTGTCGCAGGACTACAATGGACCACGCGAGGCTAATGGCATTGCCAAGTATATGCGTGCTCAGGTGGGACCTGCATCTAAGCAGGTGCGCAGCATCGAGGAGCTAGCCAAATTCCTGGACACCAAAGATACAACCATCTTTGGCTATTTCAAAGACATTGATTCCAAATTGGCAAAGACTTTCCTGAAGTTTGCTGACAAGAATCGCGAGAAATATCGTTTTGGACACAGCGAAGACGAGGAAGTTCTTAAGCAGCAAGGCGAAACGTAAGTGAGGCAGGACTGAAACTAATCAAGACTCAAGATCCGTTAGATCCATAACTCATATACCTATATTTTTTAACTTCAATAAATAGTTTGTAATTCTTTTTTGTATAATGCAATTCATGTCCAATTGCAAATCGCCAATTAGTTTATAGCTCCTTAGATAGTAGCATATAAGCTTTGTTAAGGTGACATTAGGTCAGTTAATTGGAATTATTAATGCTCTACAATATGCTTTATCTTTCATATCTTCCATAGAGATAAGATTGTGCTGATACGCGCACCACACTTGGCCAACAAATTTGAGTCGTCCACAATTAAGTTTGAGGGTAACTCCGAGTCCGATTTGATCACTTTCGTCAAGGAGAACTAGTAAGTTAAACTTAGCTAATTTCACATGATTTTGCAGCAACTAACGTTTCCCTTTTGCAGCCATGGTTTGGTGGGCCACCGCACACAGGACACTGCTCGCGACTTCCAGAATCCTTTGATTACTGCTTACTATGCCGTTGATTACCAGAAGAACCCAAAGGGCACGAACTACTGGCGTAACCGTGTTTTGAAGGTGGCCAAGGAGTTTGTTGGCCAGATTAACTTTGCCATTAGCTCAAAGGATGATTTCCAGCATGAGTTGAATGAATATGGCTACGATTTCGTTGGTGACAAGCCCGTCATTCTGGCACGCGATGCTAAGAATCTCAAGTATGCCCTGAAGGAGGAATTCTCCGTGGAAAACCTGCAAGACTTTGTGGAAAAGTTGCTGGCCAACGAACTGGAGCCCTACATCAAGAGCGAGCCGGTGCCCGAGTCCAATGATGCACCTGTTAAGGTGGCCGTCGCCAAGAATTTCGATGAGGTTGTTATCAACAATGGCAAGGATACGCTGGTCGAGTTCTATGCCCCCTGGTGCGGACACTGCAAGAAACTGACTCCCATCTACGAGGAGCTGGCCGAGAAACTGCAAAATGAAGATGTAGCCATTGTCAAAATGGATGCCACGGCCAACGATGTGCCTCCAGAGTTCAATGTGCGCGGCTTCCCCACACTATTTTGGCTGCCCAAGGACTCGAAGAACAAGCCCGTCAGCTACAATGGAGGTCGCGAATTGGACGACTTCATCAAATACATTGCCAAGGAGGCTACCACAGAACTGAAGAGCTATGATCGCAGTGGCAAGCCCAAGAAGACAGAGCTGTAGAGGCCCTCTGTCTCTCACCTTCTAAATTAGCGTGTAACTAATTAGCATTTCCATATTTTTGTAAAATCGAATGCATTCTCAGCCAACCGCCAACCGCAAAAGCAGCAAAACAAATAATAATGTGTATTAAATTATTTAATAGTGTGATTCTTGAAATTCAATTAATGCTGTCAATAAACATAAAATCTACTTTCTTCTCATAAATACACAGTTTTAAAATTAAATTAGCAGAGCCGATTCATATTTGGAATTGAGTCGCCGCATTTAGATGCTCTAAGCTCTCCTCCATCATCAAGCGAAACCAATCGGGTATGAACGTATATTCGCTTCGCTCCGTTGCATATTTATATCTAAGATTTCCATTCTCCGCATCGTATTCTAAGAGATATACTGTGCTGGCGCTGTCCACATTAGCCAACAGCGTTTTAATGTTGCCCAAACAACGACTCAGAAAATGCCCACAGATATTAGGTGACCAGTCGTGCTCCTGTTAAAATTATGATTTATATTAAGTTAAACATACTTATGTTAGTCTTAAGAGGCTTTGGGCTTCTACTCACACAGTCCCGCCACAGCTCACGCAGCTTCCTGTTTATAATCTTGTGTACGTTTCCCTGTCTATCATGATAAGCTATATAAATCTTCTCAATGCCAGTTAGAAAAGATTCGACCCACCATTTGAGCACATCACTGCGATTATGGTTAGCCCATTCCGAGGGTTTCATTTTAATCGTACGTAATTTTAGATCCACAAAGGTTTTTGGCAAACCGAAACTAAATAGTTAACAGGGAGATAAATTAAATAGATCGAACATATGTAGTTTATAGTTATTACCTAGTATTGATCGAGTGCTCCGCTAGAATGGGCGCATCAAAGAGCACATGTATGCCAGAAATTTCAGTTCTGAAGATACAATAATATTGGCCTTCTAAGTTCCGGTCTTGAGATCCATTCGAAATTCCAGTGGGGTGAACTTAAAGAATTGTGTATAGTCAAATATGTTTATCATTAATATCTTCGTAGTTACCTCCGGCGATCAGGCAGCGTTTTCTCAATGCTCTCATCCATTTTGCCTTCAATAAATCTATTGGCTGTGATAAAGCTTGTTGAGTATTTTGCACCGGACACATGTATATCGTATTCCGATATTTGCTAATGGCTAGAGTCCAGTTTTTTTTGTACTCATACGGTGCGCACATGATTAACTGTAAAGCCTCAAGGCTGCAAACAATATCCGCATCTAAGTGCAAAACTCCCTCATCATTGCGTTTTATAAAGTTTTTAAACGAGCACCGCAAAAAGTAGAAGAAATTGTCCAAATACCGTGGCTTGGGTATGGAAAGTCCTCCCGCGTCTTCGTTACATAGGGCTAGTGCAATTGGAAGTTGAATGAGCGCTGGCTGACTTAAAAAACAAATTCGCGCAGACGAATTCTCAAAATGTCCCTCGGGTGACAAACTGTATTCACCCACATGCGATGGAACTTTAACCGTGGGAAACGATACTTTATCCTGTGGCGGAGTCACCCGCGCATTAATCTCTAACACTTCGTAATTTGAAAACATTTCAAAAGCGCTCGTGAACTTTATGATTGGGTCAAATTTCGCCCAAGCTTTTTTGAATGATGCGCTAAGAACAGTTACTATAAATGCTCTGCTTCTATACTGTCCATTCGCCACGAAAATGTAAACAAACCGCTGCGCATGCAAGTGATTTGTGGTATTTGTTTCTTTTTGACAAATACGGTCACACTTCGACCGGGTACCGATTGCACTGCACGTGTTTTAAAAATTCGCACAGTTCGCTTCGAATTGGTGCGCTTAAAATTTAGTTTTAATGCAATTGAGTAGTGAAACATGGAAATAAATATCAACAAGCTGCGACGCAGTGTGCAAGTGCTGCTGCAGCTTATTGCAGAAAGCCAGCAAAATGATGGATTTGCATTAAATTTAAAGAAGTTCCTAAAGAAAGGGGTAAGCGAAATTTTTGCTTGATCCAAAATGTGTTACAATGTGTTTTCTTATGTTTTATGTTTAAGCTGTATGCTGAGCAGGATGTGGAGCGCCTGTTTAACAATCTTAGCGAACAATTGACGTCGCCAGGTTATACAGTGCCTCTGGCTTTGAGTTTTGAGGAGCACCTGCTGTTACTATTGAGCATGTCGCTGCGCTCGAGTCCATCAGATCGAACAGAGAAATATAAATTGGAGTGTATTGCTCTGGCTAAGTTGTTGCACCTGTCCGTGGCTGCCCGGAGGTGAGTGGCATATACCATTCGTGTTAGTTGTATATTAAACGATATATTACAGATTCGCCAAGAGCTACTTTCGCAATCGGGCAGCACCTTTCGAGGAAGCGAAAGTGCATATGCCCACTAAGGTGCCCAGCAAAAAGTCTAAAAGAACGCACACAAATGGCACTATGGAAACGACAGATCTACCATCTGATTTGGATTTTATTAAATGTTGCTATCAACTACTGAAAAGTGACGTAGTCTACTATAGAGAACTCTGGGATTGGTCGCACTTCCTGGCCAATTATACAGAAAAGCAAAAGGGATGTCAGCTGACGCAGCTGTACTTGAATCACATTCTGGCCCTGTTAACGGATATGACCAACACACAGCTGCATGAGCTAAACTTACGTTCAGCAATACCTAATGAGGTGCAGCTATTATTCGAGCAACAGCAGCAGTTGCCCACATTGATGAACTCCAGCTACTTGCCCGATCTGCCAGAGCAAACGCTTAAACTAAAACTCAACAAAGCTAATCAATCCGTAATCGACATGGAAGGCGTTCTGCTGCCCATTTACAATGAGGAAAATCAAAAGTTCTATGCTGATTCAGATGGATGCTATGATCGCATTGTTAAAGTGGATTCAACGAGTGTAAATCTACGTAGCATTGCTCTCGGTGTAGCTGCGGCAAAGCCCATTTGTCTCACCGGTCCAGTTGGCTGTGGTAAGACCACCCTAATTGAATATCTCGCACGTAAAACGGGACGCATTTGCCCTAAACCAAAAGAGTTGGAAATCAGCAAACGAGCTCAAGAAGAGGAGGAGCTACTGATACCCAAAAGAAAACAAAATACAACAAAGAGTGCGGCTGTAAAGAGAAAAGTCGAAGAAGATGTAGAAGAGCTCATGGTGCTTGAAGATGGCGATGGATTGGCTCAGCGAAATGGTTTCTTACGCATACAGCTTGGTGATCAGACGGATAGTAAAATGCTACTGGGCCAATATCGTTGTACAGACGTGCCAGGTGAATTTGTGTGGCTGCCTGGTGTATTGACACAGGTAAGAAATGAGATAGTTTGAATGTATAGCTGTATATTAATAAAGTTTTAAACAGGCTGTCATGCATGGCTACTGGCTGCTCTTGGAGGATTTAGATGCTGCTACGCAGGACACATATACGATATTGAGCAGCCTCTTAGAGCGCAATTACCTGAGTGTACCTGGTTTTCGAGATTGCGTCAAGGTTGAGCCAGGATTTCAACTGTTTGTAACAGTACGGTAAGCGAATCTGAGGTTAATGCTCTTGATATATATTAAATATATTCATTTTGTATTTTTATCCCAGCACCAACAAATCATCCAACAATTCCAGTCAAAAATCTCTATTATCTCTGCTAGAGAAATATCTATACACCATCAATATTTTACCACTCTCGCGCAACGAGCTATGCAAAGTGGTTAGCACTAATTATCCTAAATTGGCAACGGTAGCGAATCGAATTGTGGATGTCTTCTTGACCTTCTCCAGTGGAGATCATACAGCTGCTGATAATTTGCGACAGCAAGAGACAACAGATAAGGCAGATACCACAGAAAAGTATCTGGCGTTGCCTTTTGAGCAGGTCCAACTTTCAAACATGCCGAACTCCGGACGCTTGGTATCCACGCGGGATCTCATCAAGCTCTGTCAGCGTTCTAATGCTCAGTTTTCGGTGACTAGCTCGGAATGTGCTTACTTTGTCTTCCGCAATGCTATCGATGTCTTTTGCGCGTATCTGCCGGATAGCAAAGAGAAGACAGCTCTGATAACAAGCATTGGAGCTAAGTTGGGCATCATTAGATCGAGATGTGAACATTTTGCTAATGAATACAAACCCGACGTGGAATTCGGCAAGCAGACTTTTAAAATTGGACGCGCTATATTGCCAACAATAAACGTGGAAGAGGAGCTAAGTGAAACACAAAACGGAACTAAAAGACAAAAGCTGACAATGCAAAGCAAGAAGACAATAATCAAGCCAGCTGCAAAACGTGCAACATTTTCGTTTACACGCCTGGCCAGTTGTATATTGGAACGCATTGCAGTCTGTGTGAATCAGTCAGAGCCCGTGCTCCTGGTGGGCGAGACGGGTGTGGGCAAAACATCCTCTGTGCAGTATCTAGCAGAGCGCACCGACCATAAGCTCGTGGCTATAAATATGAATAACCAATCGGATGTGTCGGATCTAGTGGGCGGCTTTAAGCCCGTTGAGCTGAACTATGTGCTCGCCCCGTTGCGCTACGAGTTTGAATATCTGTTTGGAGAGACCTTCAATGCAGATAAGAATCAGCAGTTTATGCGCATCTTCGCCACACACTTTAACAATGGACGCTACAGTGTGATTATACGAACTATGTTGAGCGTAACGAACAACATGTTCAGTAAGCCGCAGCATAAGTCGAATCCTTTCCTGCCACGCTGGCAGACGTTGCACGAGAAGCTACAGCGCTTGCAACTACAGCTGGACAAGAGCATAAATATATCGTTTGCCTTTATACCTGGCTCCTTGGTCAATAGCATCAGCAATGGTGATTGGGTGCTGTTGGATGAAATCAATTTGGCATCTGCGGAGACACTCGAATGTCTGTCCACCATCCTGGAGCCGGAGGGTTCGGTTGTGCTGCTGGAGCGTGGCGATTTTATGCCTGTTAAGCGACATCCAGACTTTCGTATATTTGCCTGCATGAATCCCAATACGGATATTGGTAAAAAGGATTTGCCTGTGGGCATACGCAATCGCTTCACCGAATTCTTCGTGGATGAGCTGACCACGGATGCTGATTTGGGTCTACTCGTCGGGGACTATCTGGCCAATACGGGCATCCAACGCAAATCGGTGCATAACATTGTGCAGCTATATAAATCGCTGAGACGTCTCTCGGAGCTGCAGCTCAATGATGGACTTGGCAATCGTCCCGTCTACTCGCTGCGCACGCTCTGCCGTAGCTTGCGCATATGCGCACGTAATCTGTGTGGCTCGATTGAGCGTAATCTGTACGAGAGCTTCTGCTTGAGTTTTCTGACTCAACTGGATCCGGAGTCCCATCAAATGGTGTTGCTGCTCATACGTAATGCATTGCTGCAGAATCCGAAAGCTGTGCTCAATCAATCGTTGCCGCAACTGGGTGAGAATTATCTGCAATTTGAAGGCTACTGGATACAGCGTGGTAGCTTGGAGCCGCAGTCTTGCGAGCACTATATATTAACATCAAGCGTCAAGAAGAATCTGCAGGATCTGGCGCGTATCATATCCATTGGCAAGCTGCCCATTCTGCTGCAAGGACCCACCAGCGCGGGTAAGACGAGTCTCATAGACTATGTAGCCCGGAGGAGTGGCAATCGTTGCCTACGCATCAACAACCACGAGCACACGGATCTGCAAGAATACATTGGCACCTATGCAGCCGATGTTAACGGCAAGCTGAGCTTCCGGGAAGGCGTTCTGGTTCAAGCCATGCGACATGGCTATTGGATTATCTTGGATGAGCTGAACTTGGCCTCAACGGACATTTTGGAGGCATTGAATCGGGTGCTCGATGACAACCGTGAGCTGTACATTGCAGAGACACAAACGCTGGTCAAAGCGCATCCCAATTTTATGCTCTTCGCCACACAGAATCCGCCGGGCCTATATGGTGGTCGTAAGACCTTGTCGCGTGCCTTCAAGAATCGTTTCATTGAATTGCACTTTGCGGACATACCCCGCTCGGAGCTGGAAATAATATTGGAGCAACGCTGCCTTATACCCGCATCGTATGCTCGAAAGATGGTCCAGTGCATGACACAGCTGCAGCAGCATCGCAAGAATACCTCGAAGCAGGTGTTTACGCTGCGCGATCTCTTCCGCTGGGGAAATCGCTATACGCTGGCAGACAAGGCCCTGCAGCAGGATACGAAGTATGATTGGAATCAACATCTGATAGAGGAGGGCTACCTGGTCCTATCCGCCAAGGTGCGCACCAGCGAGGAGCTGCAGCTAATTGAACAGACTTTGTATGCTAACTTTAAGAAACGCATCGACTTGGAGCTGCTCTTCGACATTAATACACAGCGAGAGAGTTCCGCTGTTAGCCGAAACATTCTGGAGGCCATTAAGAACTTTAAACAGCGAGGCGACATAGTCTGGACACGGAATATGACACGCATGGCAGTGCTGACGGCCAAGGCACTGCAGTTTGATGAGCCGGTGCTTCTAGTGGGTCCCACGGGCTGCGGCAAGACAACGGTCTGCCAGCTCCTGGCGAGCATTGCCCAAAAGCGTCTGCGCATCCTCAATTGTCATATGCACACGGAGGG